TCTCTCATTCTTCCTATTTCCCCGACAGCCTCCTCTAGCCCCACCCAGGCCTTGCTCTCCCGTCGACACCCCTTACCCAACCTTTCTTTTTCCTCAAAGTGCCCCTCCAGCCACTGTCGAGGGCCCCCATGTGGCCGACCAACCTCCTTGCTGGTCTGGTCGAGTTCGGTAGCCCTTCTAGGGTAGCCTGGGTTCGTTTCTTCCCTTCGGGGATATTCTGGTGAAGTACCAAAAAAAAAATAAACGGGGGGGGGGAAGGGGGGGTTTATTGGATTCTTAATTTAATGCGTCCATAGTGACCGTTGTGCTTGTTCTTCCACTATCATCTTCCAGATTTGTGATTGGCATTGTGTTTGAGGAGTAATTAGTAGAGTCTTCATGACAGATTTGACTAGTGAATCTGCTACCTCTTAACCATCTAAGGGCGAGAGTTCTGTTATCCGTTCTACTATGACTGATAATCTCAACCCTGGCCTTAAAATCACCACCTCTCTATTCAATGGTCAGAATTACCTAGTGTGTTGCAGAGTCTGATTATTTTCTTGAAGAGCAGAGGGAAGATGGGATATGTTGATGAGAGGGTACAGACACCCAGTACCACATACCCTCGTTATGATCGGTGGGAGATCACCAATTCTCTGATTATGGACTGGTTGATACATTCTATGGTACTGGAGACTGGAGAAAGCTACTTGTCTATGGACACAGTCCAGGATATTTAGGAGTCTGTAACTACTACTTACTCCAGGAAGGGGAACTTCTCACAGGCTTTCGAGTTACATTGCTCCATTGAAAGGTTGGTACAAGGTGAGATGACTATCCTCCAGTATTTTACCTTCCTTAGCAATGGATGGAAGCGGCTTGATCACCTTCAAGATTACAAGCTTGTCTATCCCACTAATTCTGCTGGCTATCGGAAGTTTGTGGAGTAGGAGCAGGGTTTTGGGTTGCATTATTTGGTTTATGTTGCATCTGGTATTTTTCCTCATTTAATCTTCAATTGGTGTCACTTCTAACTTCATGCATTTGTTTCATATTTGCATGCCACTCATCATCTCAACATTTTCATTTCTAGTACCTTGAATTTTTTAAACATGTTACACTGATTTTTTGCCCATATAAATGAAAAATGTTTAGTGTTGTCTCTATAATATAGGATAGTTAGTGTGCAAACTTTCAATAATATTTTATCCGTTGCCATTGAGAGTATAAGCCATAGCATTATTTCTTGAAAAGTAACATAAATGTTCATCAAACAAGAATAGGGATCTTGTAGACCTAGCATCATGGTTAAAAAGCAAAAGAGGATGCATTAATATGGTTTTTTTTTTTTTTTTTTTTTTTTTTGATCAACAACAAAAGCTTTATTGATAAATAAGAAAAGGAATTGAGGATGAGGCATCCTCTTACAAAAGGACAAAGAGAAAACAATACAAAATTGAAAACCCCCAAACAAGCTAAACACGGGCAAAATCCTACATATCACAAACTGCCAACCAATCTCTAGCTATCAAAAAAAGAGGAACTCCCTTAAATAAAGAGTTCCTCGACACCCAGAAAGAAGTTAAATGACAAACATTATCTCACAAACAACCCACTTCTCGAAAATTTTCATCAAACAACCTTGCATTTCTCTCCCTCCATAGAACCCAAAAAGTTGCAAAGATGGCACAAGACCAAAGCTTTTTGGCTCTCTTTGATCATCCAAAAGTGCGAAAATCCACTAGGAGCATATGCGTACACCTTTTTGGGGCTACCCACGCCACGTTTCCCAAAGAAAACAATTTATGCCATAAATTTAACGCTATTGGACAATGCAAGAATAAATGATCCGCGGATTCCCCATTTTTAAAACACAGAATGCACCATTGAGGATTTAGAAAACGATTAGGCCTCCTTTTTTGCAACGTATCATTTGTCAAAATGCCTCCATGAACTAAGGCCCACATGAACACCTTTACTTTTAGGGGAACACAAGCCTTCCAAACTTTTTTGCAAAAAGGAAACTGAGGAACATGAGGATTATCAATGATGTACTCAAAAAAAGACTTGCAAGAAAATATCCCGGATGAATGAAGAGCCCAAACCCACTTGTCCTCCAACAAAGGAGATAAAGAAAAATGATCAATTCTGGCCAATAAAGAAGTCAACTGAGAAGCCTCCCTATCATTAAGATTCCTAGAAAAATCAAAATTCCAGGAAATTGGAGCCAAAAGTGAGCAAGCCATGGACGCAATTAAAGAATTATGAGAACGAGCCACTCTATATAGATGTGGGAAATCGACAGCAAAAGAAGACTGACCCATCCAAACATCCTCCCAAAATCGAACAAGTTCCCCATTGCCCACCCGAATAGAAAGATGACGAGACCAACATGTGAAAATTTGAGAAATAGACTTCCAAGGAGCACGACAGTTACCCCTCAAAACCACTCATGAATCCCTACCATTGTCATGAGTCCCATATTTGCTTCTTATAACCGAATGCCATAATGAATCAACCTCAAGGGGAAATCTCCATAACCACTTGCCAAGAAGAGCCATGTTCCTAGCCACAATATTACCAATAGCCAAACCCCCCTTCTCCTTAGGTAACGACAGTAACTCCCAATTCACCAGGTGATCCTTTTCCCCCTCATCCTTCCCTTCTCAAAGAAAATCCCTCATCAACTTTTCTAGAGACTTTGCCACCTTAATTGGAATCTTGAATAAAGATAAATAATAAATAGGGATACCACTCAAAACAGACCTAACCAAAGTGTATCTACCCCCACGTGATAATAAAGCCTTACTCCACCCTTCCAATCTCTTGCCAATCTTTTCCACCACAGGAGACCAAAAAGCTTCACTCCTAAGATTACCCCCCAATGGAAGACCCAAATATTTAAACGGAAGTAACTCTATACCACATCCTAAAAGTGACTGTTCTGAAATTGATCTTGCTGCATATTAATACCCACCACACTACTTTTTCCCAAATTGACCTTAAGCCCTGAAATAATCCCAAAAAGTCTCAAAATCGAATGAAGATTAAGTAGCTGACTTTCATCTCTTGAGGAAAAAAATATGGTATCATCTGCATATTGTAAATGAGTCACACTAACTTTATCCCGCCCCACCTCCAACCCCGCAAAAGACCTGCTTCTTTAGCTCTATCAACCATCCTTCCCAGAACATCGACCACCAAAATAAAAAGAAAAGGAGATAGTGGGTCCCCTTGTCATAGCCCCCGCGAAGCCGTAAAGCATTCCCCTAGTTTACCGTTCACTATGATTGACATATTACAAGTCGACAGACAACCCCTAATCAAAGATCTCCACCGCCCACCATATCCCTTCTTATCCAATACAAAATCCAAAAACTGCCAATCCACATGGTCATATGCCTTCTCAAAATCTATCTTAAAAATAAGACCTTTCCTTCCTGAGCTCCTATATTCTTCCACTACTTCATTTGCTACTAAGGCAACGTCTAAGATTTGTCTTCCTTTGACAAAAGCTCCTTGCGCCCTAGACACTGTATCCCCTAAAGACATCCTCAGTCATTTTGATAAAACCTTCCCCAAATCTTATACAACGACCTTACCAAACTGATAGGCCTAAAATCTCCCACTCTAACAGCATTCACTTTCTTAGGAATCAAACAGATGAACGTAGCATTTGTTCTTAAATTAACAACCCCCGACTCATGAAATTCCAAAAACACTTTCAACAAATCCCCTTTCACCACCTCCCAACAATCCTGAAAGACCGCCATAGAGAAACCATCTGGACCTGGAGCTTTGTCTCTTTCACAATCAAAGACCGCCTCTCGAATTTTTGATTCATCAAAAGGCCTTTCAAGCCATGTTGCAATTGTCGGATCAATGGTTCCCCACTCTAGTCCTTCAATCCCCGGTCTACTCATCTCTTCCTTCAAATAAAGCTTAGAATAAAAGTCGTAAATGCCGCTGACAATTTGATTCTCCCTTTCCACCATTACCCCTAGGCTTATTTCCAATCTCTTAATGAACTTCTTCTTTCTTTGCCTATCTGCAACCTTGTGAAATTTTTTTGAATTAACATCCCCTTCCATCAACCATTTGATTTTTGCTTTTTGAGCCCAAGAAACTTGTTCCCGAAAAGTCAGCTCTTCTAATTTTAATCTCAACTCCGATCTTTCCCTCCTAAAAGACTCAGCTAACGCCCCTTGCAACTCCAAAGCGTCTAACTCTACTATTCTACTCATCACCTCCTTTTTTGAAGACTCCAAATTCCCAAAAACCTCCCTATTCCAGCACTTCACCTTCTCCTTTACCAACTTTAACTTTCTCATAAATTTAAAACCCTCCCAACCATGACAGCTAGCATTCGTCCACCATTCCTCAAAATTTTGTTTAAAAGATGTATGCTCCAACCACATGTTCTCAAATCTAAAAGGCACCGGACCCCACATTGATATGGTTTTCGCCTAAATCTAAACAATCTGGCATACATTGTAGTGTCACCAACTTTGTGAAATAGGTGAACATGGTGTTGCTCTTGTGTGTTCTATTTGTGTTATTCTCAAAGGTTATTTCTTTTCATCTACTTTTGAATTGGCTGTTGTTAACTCTTTTGAACAGATTTTTTTGATCTTGTTACTTGGTACTTCTTGTTATTTCTCTTAGTCTTAGAAGGAAAAGTACTATGAGATTTCAGTTCTGACGTGTTTCTTCCACTATGTGAACATGGGCCATCTCTGTCTCTCAAATGTGGAAATATAGTGGGATACAAGCATTTGGGAGGTTGGGGAGAGAATTTGAAAAATTGATGGAACACTCTCTCTCTCTCTCTCTCTCTCTCAAACACAATTGTGATATAATTTTATCATTAAATTAGTTTTTGATAAAATTCATGCTTAATTGTTTTTAAAGTTGTATTCAGGTATTTATATCAATTGAAGTTTTAAGATTTTTTATTTTGCATCATTAAAATTTACGACATTGTTGTATCTCATATAGAGATCTATGTTTTGCAACAGGGTACCCCTACAATCTTGATTTCGATCATGGTGCTCTGGGATAGTTACAACATTTCTCTATTAACAATCTTGGTGATCCATTTATAGAGAGCAACTATGGAGTCCATTCTGGGCAGTTTGAAGTGGGTGTATTGGATCGGTTTGCCCGCCTATGGGAACTTGAGAAGAACAAATATTGGGGTTACATTACAAATTGTGGAACAGAAGGCAATATTCATGGTATATTAGTTGGGTTAGTATCAACAGGCTTCATTTTTGTGACCTTTTATTTTTATGATGTTTTGACCTATCGTGTATCTTGTCAAAGTTTAAGAAGATTGTACTAATTTTGCAGGAGGGAAGTGTTTCCAGATGGCATTCTGTATGGCTCACGTGAATCACATTATTCTATTTTCAAAGCTGCACGAATGTACATGATGGAATGTGAAAAGGTCGACACTTTGGTCTCAGGTGAAATTGATTGCAAGGATTTCAAAACTAAACTCCTTTGCCACAAGTGCAAGCCAGTAATTATCAACGTAAACATTGGTACTTCCCTCCCTTCCTCTCTCTCAACGTAAACATTGCAGTTTCATGCTTTCTCAACTCGTCGAATCGAGAAGTCTGCTGTTATCTACATGATCATCTTTCTATTAATTATTGACAAATAAGATTACACTCAACCATTTTGGCTATCTAAGTGTACAAGCTATGTTGTGATGTGAGATACTTTACGTCACTAGAGTTGCATATACGTATACTAATTTATAGAGTCTTTGTTTCTTCCAGTCAAGTGGAAATGGAAGTCTTCTACTTCACTTGCCTTTATATTGGTCTTTAACAAGAGGGCAGGTACGAATTGTGCCTGTGCTTTGTATCTTAGATTAGCTCTTGTTTTTTATTCCATTTACCTCTCTTTGGAAAGAGAATTTGTGAGTAGTGGGAGTTTAGGATGGTGGAGCACAATTTGAATTTTGTGAAATTACTAATTTACCTTTATTTTAGAGAAAGTGTTATGGATTTGTTTTAGAAGAATACAGGGAGCACTAAAACAATAGTCAGGCTTAATATAATTGAGTGATGAACAAGAAAGATTAGGCAGTCTAACACAAGATTTTCAAATTAAATAAGCTATAACAAACAGTGATCCGAGAGCCTTCTTGGTAAACCCCACAGTTTAAAATTAAATTTTTGCAACCACTCTGGGCTGAGTAAAAATCTGTCCAGCCTGCTCCATTTGACACCATTCTGAGAATTACACCAAGTAAACTTTCTCCCCAACATTGGTAAGTCACACACTTCCAGGTTTTCGATTAGCTCGTTAAAATCCTTCATACCGCCACATCTTTGGGAACAACCGACCCTCTCAGAATAAAACCGAATCTCATTAAAATCACCCCCCAAGCACCAAGGGTTAATAAAATTTCTCTTTAAATTCTTCAAATTTTCCCATAGTCCCTTCCTCTTAACACCATCGGTCGGGCCATAGACATTGACAATAACACAAGCTATACTAGAAAATAGAGTGAGAGACAAAATGATGGAAGATTAAAGCTTTTGTGGGTATTTTGGGCCGTTGTACTTCATGGCTATCTGTTCTGTTTTGGTTTTCCTTGTTTCTTTTTCCTTTGTTTTGTTGGCTCGTTGGTTTCTCACCAACTTGGAGGTTGGAGCTTGTTTTAAGCTCCAAGCTCCCCTTTATTGATGTAATCTTTGTTTTTCCATCAATAAAGTATTCTTTTTGCCGATCAAAAAAAAAAAAAAAAAAAAAAAAAAAAAAAAAAAAAACAAACACCCCCATTAAAAGTAAGAGAAGGCTTGCCAAAATTTGGGAATTTGTCAAATCTTGTGCCATTTTTAGCATAAAAGAAAACCAAAATTTAGCAACTCAAATGGCAATTGTACTGAAGCTCTCTTTTTTGCCCAAGCGGCCATATATGTAGTAATGACAAATGCATTGAAGACGCTCATAGCAACATCTGCTGATGAGCAAGTCCAAGAATTGATCGTGATGCAAAATTATTAGGTAGTTACGAAATATCATATGACATTTTTCATATGGTACTTCTAACCAATAAAAAAAAATCACAAAACACACTAGGTAGACATTTCATCTCCCAATTACTTAACAAAGGCAGGTCAACATTGTCCCACCTGTAAACATATTCGCTACATCATTAGTTGGAAGCATTATATGAAAAACATCACGTGATACTCTAGGTTTACAGACACACGCAAAGATCAAAACATTTCCAAAAGACATTCACATGTTATGGTTCAAAACTTTCAAGCAAAACTACATTCTATCAGGTAAACAATCAGAAGGTCTTAGATTCGAGTTCGCATTTTGATATATGAGTCAGATTTTATGCCGAGTCTCACCATTGGTGGCATTAGGAGATTCCTTGTTATTAAAAAAAATAAAAATAAAAATAAAAACTGAAAATCCTATAAAACGAACCACGAAACTACAGTGTCCCTGCAAATGGCGTCAAAATATAGCATGTACAAAACAAGAGAACAAATCTTTGGACAACACAAATGCCGAAACAGAAAATTTCATGGACCATGCTAAGTCCATGTCTGCTCATACAATCACCAACAAATTGATCAACATGTCCAGTTCATAGACCTTGCTGTGAATCATAACAAAGGAGATGAACAGAAAGATAACTTACTAAGCTTCTTGCTAATGCAATCTTTGTCTCAAAAATGACCATTAGACTAATAAACTTCAAAATGGAAGCAACTGATCACTTATATAATCCAACAAATCAACAGTGTTAGCTCAGGTACTAGAAAACAAACACACCATAAAGGACAGAGATGCGGACCAGGAACCATCTAACTAACTGCACCAAAATCAAAAACAAAAATAATAAGTGTCCAGCAATTAGTTCTCCAAGCAAAATAATAATAATAATAATAATAATAATAATAATAATAATAATAATAATAATAATTCAGGCTACTATTTTAAAATTAATGAACTGCAGAATGTACGAGTGGTCAAACATGAACATTTTCTCAGGTTAGAAAATATGTCCATAACAACAGAAAGTAACCCTGGAAACAAGATCATGACATTTTATTCTCTCTGTCTCTGTCTCTCTCTCTCTCTCTCTCTATATATATATATATTATTAGGCTCCCAAAAAATGCACTGTCAACATTATGAGGGCAACTTGGAACCAATACATAAAGCACCATTGATAAAGATGTAATGTAATTCCTATGCAAATTGTTAGGCTCCAAAAAAATATGTCAACAATTAACAGCACCGCACACATGAAGGGGCATCAATCAGCTTGATTTAATGATTTTAGTATTTAACTCCTATTAGTTCCCTCTAATCGTGGAACATAGAAAGCTTTTAAAAATTTAAAAAGTTAGTTTAGTTCGTCACCATTAGCAATAAATTATCATCACTACCATTATTTTTGTCCTGATAATAAAGTCAGTACAAATTACAGGGAAATATTAGAAATAGACGGTTAAAGGCTAGATCTCTCTTTTAGTGTACATTGTAAGTAAAAAAAAAAAAAAAGATAAAATTTTATTCAGAAAGAGACCATAAAAGCGACTCAAACCAGTACACTAGATGTATACAGAAAACAAAACAAGACATATTAAATTGTATTGAACAGGACATATTAAAATGCAAGGCCCTATTCTTCTTCTCCAACAGAAACTATCTGTAAGTCAAGGTCTTCTGATCAAAGTAGAAGGATGAATTGTCCACTTGCCTAAATAGGCGGTGAATTTGAGCCAAATCAAAGGCAGGAATTACCCAAAAGAGAAGAAAACAGGGAATTGGTAAGAAAGGCATATAAAAGGGATAGTCCCGATGCACAAGGCTCCTGCTATCCTGGGGTGTGAAGAGAATTAGATGTACACAGTCTTAACCATCCATGTAGTGAGACTGTTAATGTGGTTTGAACCATGATGCCTATGTTGCAATGGTAAGAAAAGGCATAGCTGTGTGTAAATCAAGAGGAAAAAAAAAAAGAAAAAGGCAAAACCCTAGGCAGTAGACTGGTGAAGCAAACTTCTGTAGCCAACTATGAACGGTTGGGATGAGATGTATGTATGATCAGACACACAAATTGAGACTAAAAGGACATGACAAAAAACTACGGATGGATAGGATCTTTGATTGTTGAAGAAGAGAGGATACATATACTCCACCAAAAGCACCACATTTTACCCAGCAACACCAACGCCACCACACCCATGCACAAAGTACAACTATATAATTCACCAAGTGATTGTACTCTGCCATGTCAACAGTGTAACGCCCTCAAAATAATACATAAAACCCATCATTTTAGACATGCATTGATATAAAAGAAACCAACCATTTCTATTCATCAGAGTAATTCTTACAACTATATTACATGTTAACAGCAAAAGCAAATGCCCTACGGGCTTACAGCTTTCCAAGTTAACACTTGGTTACAAAAAGGAGTACTAACTCAATACACATAAAGCCCTTGGCTTGAATTTACATGTAATACACCAAAAGAAAATAAACAAAACAATCCGCCTGCCTCTAGCCTCCCAAGCTATGTCCTTGGAGGTGGCATGCTACCTGTACCTGAAAATGATGTCCCATAAAGGGTGAGCCACAGCCCAGTAGAGATATGCTAAACACAGTATGAGCAATAACTAAGACATTAGTAATTGATAAATGTTCAATTTCCATAAACCAATTCATAACCCATTCTCATTTCATGACCACTATGTTCATGACTCATTTCAGTTTCCATTTCTTATCAATTTCACATTTTTGCATCAACGGCTCAGAACCTGGCTTCTTATCAATTTCACAATTTACATCAACGGCTCAGAACCTGACCAACCACTTATATGAGACAATGACTCATATTAAACATTTCCCATTTTTACGATAGATAAACATACTAGATGTATCAACATCTCAACAGATAAGCCTACAAGCTGTATCCACATTTCAACAGATATGCATATTAGCTATATCAACACTTCCAATGACAAGCATATGAGCTGTATCAACACTTCCAAAGATACGCATATGAGCTATATCAACACATTATCTGACAAGCATATGAGCTGTATCAGTGGAGTCCATCCCCTATCTCCTCCCAAACAACATCCGGTTTAGAGGTCCATCCCCTATCTTCCCCTAAACTGTGGAGTACATCCCCTATCTCCTCCCACACACACAACGTATATACACAAAGGTCATATACACAATCAATCAATACATAGCGTTAATGTATTCTATCAACCATCATACTCTATGACACATCCAATTGATTAGTTTTAGTTTGCCTCATCATCGTGCATTGTCTACAACAATCAAAACTACCCTCCACCGGTAGCCCAAGCAATTATTTCTAAACAGATAATAAAAGCTCCAACAGATAAAATATCAATGTTTTCAAAAGTGAGCGATTTATAAATCCAACTCGATCATTTCACAACTTAATGAGCCAATTTAATTATTTCCAACTCAATTCCATAAGTCCACAATTTTCCCAAATTAATTATACCAATTAATTTATTCAACAAATTAAGGTTTTCCACCCTATTTCCCAATATTGACCCAATGGCCTATATATCAACAACCAACAACAAAATCATTATTTTGAAATCCAAAATACATATTTAAGAATCAAAATAAGAAACCCTCGTTTATACCCTTTTGAAACCCTAAGTCCCAAAATCAATCAACTTCAACACTTTATCAAAACTACCAATAATCTATGTCGAAGACCATAATAGTGAGTAGGAATCCCTATCTCAAATTCGGAGCTCAAGGAGAGAAGATGACGAAACTCAACGTGCTCCAAAACTCGAAATTTTCGGATTAAGGTAAAGCCCTCGACGATCAACCCAACTTTTGTGAAGACCAAAGGTGAGGAAAACACCCTAGCTAGATCAATACTTAGAGATAAGTTATGGTTTTAGAGAGAGGAGCTCTCAAATGGATTTTTAGAAATTAAGAGAGAGAGAGAGAGTGTAAAAAGTGATTCTAAAAAGTCCAGCTGCCAACTGATATACGACATTCCCGCTCGAGCGGAGAACACAACGCTCGAGCGTCAAGAACAAAAAACCAGGTACGCTCGAGCGCAAGAAGGCCCGCTCGAGCGCCAAGACACAAGAATAAAGTACATCCGCTCGAGCGCGAAAACCAGTCCGCTCGAGCATAGATCTCCCCCTCCCAGAACTTATACCCAGAAAGTGCTACCCGCTCGAGCCCCAACAAACCCGCTCGAGCGTAAAGAAACCCGCTCGAGCGTAAAAATCACACCTGCAGAAGTTTTGCAGGGACACGAAATACTGGGGGTGTGCAACCCCCGCTTGAGCGCAAGAAGACCCGCTCGAGCGGACTGCCTAAAAACTGGGCAACAAGGAATTGAAACCAAGGCCTAACCAACCTGTAACAATCCTGCCCAAAACATCCTAAAACTCAATCAAGCGGAATTAAAGGACGATAACAAGATAGATATAACTACCAACTTCACGGAACCGAGTCCGGAATACAACAGAACAGTAAAGGGACAACCGGGATCGCTATAACCTCCCCCCCTTAAAGAATTTCGTCCCCGAAATTAAACATGAGTTTTTCAAAAACAGGTTTTCTCCATTCTCAACAATATTACAACATAATATTAAACAATCCGACCCATTACCGGTCATCTCATCTCTTTGCAAGAGGCATTTCACATTACACGTAACAACCTGCATTATCAACATGCATTCCTTTGACGATCAACCCAACTTTTGTGAAGACCAAAGGTGAGGAAAACACCCTAGCTAGATCAATACTTAGAGATAAGTTATGGTTTTAGAGAGAGGAGCTCTCAAATGGCTTTTTAGAAAGTAAGAGAGAGAGAGAGTGTGTAAAAAGTGATTTTAAAAAGTCCAGCTGCCAACTGATATACGACATTCCCGCTCGAGCGGAGAACACAACGCTCGAGCGTCAAGAACAAAAATCCAGGTACACTCGAGCGTAATAAGGCCCGCTCGAGCGCCAAGACACAGAATAAAGTACATCCGCTCGAGCGCGAAAACCAGTCCGCTCGAGCGTAGATTTCCCCATCCCAGAACTTATACCCAGAAAGTGCTACCCGCTTGAACGCCAACAAACCCGCTCGAGCGCTACCGCTCGAGTGTAAAGAAACCCGCTCGAGCGTAAAAATCACACCTACAAAAGTTTTGCAGGGACACGAAATACTGGAGGTGTGCAATCCCCGCTCGAGCACAAGAAGACCAGCTCGAGCGGACCGCCTAAAAACTGGGCAACAAGGAATTGAAACCAAGGCCTAACCAACCTGTAACAATCCTGCCCAAAACATCCTAAAACTCAATCAAGCGGAATTAAAGGACGACAACAAGATAGATACAACTACCAACTTCATGGAACCGAGTCCGGAATACAATAGAACAGTAAAGGGACAACCGGGATCGCTATAGACAGCCCTATTGCTCTCTAGCAATAGGGCTGTCCAGAAAAGAGGAGGAAAAGAAGAAAAAATGACAGATATTCCAGGAAAGAAAGAAACTGTTGGCAGCTAGTATCCTTTGTCCTTCAAAAGAGGGAAGACATACTAACTATATAAATCTGCCACTTGTTTTCCACCAGCAAGAAGTCCATGCTTCTCTGTACAAATCTTCAATAACTCTTCCTTGCTGATTCTCATTACACCAAAGTTGCTGACACCTCGTTCACTTCTAGCAACCTTTATTAAAATGTCACAACCACCACAGCACACCACCACAAATGACCACCTCCACACAAGAATCCCATTTGAAAATCTTGTAAAATTTATCTAACTTTTCCTTCCACAGCCTAGAGACATGATACTATGATAGTGTTATTTATATGCCTAGTATGGACCAATACTCAAAAATATAAAAACAAAAACAATAGGGTAAAGCAATGTACGAAGCTCCCACTAAAGCAGCTGGGTATGATTAGGGCAATACATACACAACCTTATCCCTATTTCTACAGAGGTAGTTTTCGTCAATCAAATCCGCACCATCAAGAACCACTGGCCAAAGCAGACCCTTTAATACTAAAAAACATAAGATTAATAAAATTTCATTTGCAATCATGCAATATTCGCGATAGTACAAATCCTTGATTGACCCTATAAAATTGTTTCTTAAGGTCAAGATTTACCCTTTGACCTAGAACTAAGAGTATCACAATGCAAGTGTCAATGTAGTTACATTATAAGTTCTTTGCTCTAATGAATTTAGATAATGAAAGGATGGAAAAAACTTAGGTGTTAATTTGGAGACATGAACACATGAATAGAGACAACATAATTAAAGAGGAATTAAGGTGAACCATTCACTTGTAAAATAAGAGTTTGTCTCAATTTCTAACTTTGTAGCAGATATATTCATGGTTGGAATATTGCTTACTTCTGTTAAAACAGAGGGTAATTGCAGCATCTTCGAGAGATAAAAATAACAACAATAGAAGAGCTCAGTAAGTTGGCTTTTCTTTCTGTGAAATATGTATACCAATTGAAATTTGGGTGCTGCATAGATGTTGTGAAATGTCCATCTAGATAAGGTATGAACTTAGTGCTAAACAAAATTACTTAAACATATTTTATATAGGTAGAATGATATCTACTACAGATTACGGTGCAGTAGTAAAATATATTCTATTTTGATTCCAAGTTCTAATAATTTTTTGTTCCAATTTTTCTATAGTAGTTCAATTATGGTGGAATCCAAGCTAGAATCAATAGTGAAACATTAGAAGGTATTTTTGAACCAGAAAATGGAATTGTGCATGATGAATCTCAAGTGGATATTGTTTCAAGCTGGGATATTGTTTCAAGCTGGAATATTGATATAAGTGACCCAAGGCAACTCAATATTGGGAAAACTTACCCAAGGCAACTCAGGTAGTCACCCAACTATTGTTTTTCTATGTTACTAGTACTTTTAAGATATAAGTGATACTGAAACATTACTTTAAGCAATTTAATATGACATAGTTAAATTGAATCATTTAGTCACTAGCTTCATCAGCTACAATGTATTATTTTATATGATCTTCTTTCTTCATATTCTGACTGATATCACTGTCTTTTGGGCTGTTATACAAGATCACTTCATTTTGATTGTCTCTCATTTACATAAATACCTAACCTTATTGGGTCATCATATATATAGAAAATAAGAATTCATTCTTCGTTATGTCTAATTATATCTGGTTGTTGACTTTATAAATCAAACTTTTATTTGCACATGTAATTAAGTACTTAATTAACTTCGTTTATACAGGTGGGTTAACAACTTTGGTTGACATGCCTCTTAACAGTTTTCCATCTACAGTTTCTGAAGAAACTTTTGAACTCAAGGTAGGGATGGTTAACAACATTAATTTTTCATTTTTTTTTCCATGGAGGCTCTGCTTAAAGTAAAAGCCTGTTTATATCTTTCTGTTTAGAAATTTAATTTTTCTTCTTTAAATCATTATAGTAAGCTTGCAATAATAATCCTATCTCAACTCACTTACGTTGTGTTTGGTTGGGGGATTTGGGAAGGGATTTGGAAATGGAAAGGAAAAAGGTGTGTATGTGAAATGTAGGTATATTTTATTTACGTTTAACCTTTCTCTTTCTCTTCCTTCCCTTTCCAAATTAATTTCCAAATTCCCCAACCAAACACAGCATTAAAGAGAATTTTTCTTAAATTATATTTTTGTTTTTAATGTTGCTATAAATTTGCCACATGGTTGGTGATTTTCTTTTTATCTTATTTTTTCAATTTTTTGGTGTTTTCCTCTTGGCTCATTGTGAACTCCTCCTCTAAATTGTCAATGCCTGAAATCAACTTTACTGTTTAAAATTGTCACAAATCTATTTTGTCATTCTAAAATCTCTTTTGCTAAGTGATAAATGCAGGTTTGAAGCAATGTGGTAAGAGTTGCAAGCTTAGATGGGCACCCTCGTCCTTGTGATAGGAGCAAGTGGGTTTGCTGCAGCTGCGACTGCTATAGGAATTGTTGCCAGTAGTTTTAAATAATCTCTTAATAGTTTTGGATATGTTTAGAAACTTAGATATGCATAGTTTCGGACGGTTTAAACTTTTTTGGACAGTTTAGAACTTAAGGATATAGTTTTCGAATGTTTAGAATATATAGACAATTGTTGAATGTTTATAATTTATGGATATAGTTTCTTTTTGATGTTTTAAATAATGTTTTGGTGGTTGATTGATATTTTATGATGCTTGTTTGCAATATTTGTTAGATTGTACAAAATTGGTCAAATAGAACCTGTTGAATTTAAAAATTAAAAAAAAAAACTGCATATTCTACGGCCGGCATAACAAGTCGTATTACATATTTTACGGCACGCAATTAGCGTCGTTATTTGTCTTACCAATTAACGGCGTGCAAAAGTTACAGCGATCCCGGTTATTCCTTTACTATTCTGTTGTATTTCGGACGTGGTTCCGTGGAGTTGGTAGCTGTACCTATCGTGTTGTCAACCTTTAAACCCTTTTTGTTTGAGTTTTAGAATGTGTTGGGCTTGGTTGTTACAGGTTGGTAGAGCTTTAGCTCCCATTATTGCTGCCCAGTTTTTGAATGGTCCGCTCGAGCGGGGTTTACACACTTCCAGTATTTCGTGCCCCTGCAAAACTTTTGCAGGTGTGTTTTCTACGCTCGAGCGGGTTTCTTGCGCTCGAGCGGGATTGTTGGCGCCCGAGCAGGTAGTTCTTTTTCTGAAAAGTTCTGGGAGGTGAAAATCTACGCTCGAGCGAACTGGTTCTTTGCGCTCGAGCGGATGTGTTTTGCTTTTGTTTCTTGGTGCTCGAGCGGGCCTTCTTGAGCTCGAGCGTGACCAGATTTTTGTGCTTGACGCTCGAGCGTTCTATTCTCTGCTCGAGCGGGTCATACGTATATGAGTCATCCGCTGGGTAATTTTAAATCACTTTTTACATTTCCTTTCTCTCTCCTACTTTCCCAAAATCGATTTTGAGAGCCTCTCTCTCTAGGATCTCCCTTCTCTCTAGGGTTTGATCTAGTTAGAGTGTCTCCCTATCCTTCGGCCTTTGTAAAAAGTGTGTTGATCATTGAGGGCTATATTTTGATCCAAGAATTTTGGGATTTGGAGCATCTTCGTTTCCTTCATCTTCTTCGTTGGGTTTCATCTTTGTGGTAGGGATTCCTACTCATCTTTATGGGCTTTGACCAAGATTGTGAGCTTTTGTATAAATGGTTTTGGATTTTGGAAGTTAGGGTTTCAAATGTGTGATTTTGAAAAGAGGGGTTTGTTTCCTTTGAACCATAACTGTGTATTTGGGTTTCAAAATGAGTATGTTGATGTTTTTGGTAATATTTGGACCCTCAGGGGTCAAGATTGAGAAAATGGGAAGAAAGTCCTAAGTTGTGTATAAATTAATTGGTATAATTAATTTGGGAAAGTTATGGATTTGTGAAATTGAGTTGAATATAATGTTAGTGGTTCATTATGAGATGGAATAGTGGAGTCAGATTAATAAATCGTTCACTTTTGAAAATGCGGATAATTTATATGTTGGTGCTTTTATTATCTGTTTAGAAATAATTGCCTTGGGCTACTGGTGGAGGGTAGTTTTGATTGTTGTAGACAATGCATGATGATTAGGCAAACCAAAACTAATCGATTGGATGTGTCATCGAATATGACGGTTGAAAGAATACATTAATTTTATTTATTGATTGAAATTGTATATGATAACTGTTTATATACATTGCTTTGTGTGGGAGGAGATGGGGGATGTACTCCACGGTTTATTGGAAGATGGGGGATGGACCTTTAAACCGGAAATTGTTTGACATTGATACAGCACTACAATGTGTATCAGGTGGGAAGTATAGAAGTGTTTCTATGTTTATTTGATATAGCACTAAAATGTATATCATGTAGAAAGTATGGAAGTGTTTTGTTTGATCTGATATAGCACTAAAATGAATATCATTTGAGAAGCATGGGAATGGTTGTCTGACTGTGATACAACACCAATATGTGTATCCATTATGAAGTATGAAATGTTTAAAATGAGTTATTATCTCACCTGAAATAGAAATACCGTGGCCATGAGATGTGATCTCATTCAAAATGATTGGCCTAGTTCTGAATCGTAATTATAAATCGAGAATCTGATAGGAAATGGAAACTGGAATAGAACATGGATACATTAGTCATGGGATTGAATAGTGTTATAAGTTGTTGTGTACGAGTTAGACATTTATCAATCACTGACATTTTAGTTATCGTTCATACTGTGTTTAGCATATCTCTACAGGGCGTTGGCTCACCCTATATGGGACATCATTTTCAGGTTCAGGTGTTGTGCCGTCTCCGAGACCTTAGCTTGGAAGATTGAGGGAGTTGAAGATTCTTATTTGTTAATTTTGTTGTATTACATGTATATCAAGCCAAGGGCTTAATTTGTATTCTGAGTTAGTACTCTTCTTCTGTAACCCAAGTGTTGACTTGGAAAGTTGTAAGCCCATAAGGCATTTACTTTTATTGTTAACATGTATTACATTTTGTAAGAATATCCAGATGATTGTAATATAATATCTCTTTTCTGTACCTTGAATGTATGATATTATGGGTTAATTTTGAGGGTGTTACAAAAGTAGTCATAGAAAAAGTAACGACGACACACAAAATTTGCCGTTAAATAGTTTTTAACGGCGTATTCTAGCATGTCGTAGAAAAAGTAACAACGACGTGCACAATCTGCCGTTAAATAGTTTTTAATGGCGTACGAAGCATGTCATTAAAAGTGAATGACTTTTCATGACTGCTCATAATATGACGCGCGCTGCACGTTGTAGAAGGGTTTGTACGGCATGCATTGCGCGCCGTAAAAACCTTTTTTTTGTTATAGTTTTGCTGAGTTTGATTAGTATGTTTTCAGATGTGCTTGATATGTTTGACGTGATAGTAGACGATGACAGAGCAGAAGCATTCTACCTATTTGACCCTTTACAATCCGTTGATTTTGCGTTTAATCTACATTTGATGAAATCCGTATTGGGAATTACAAATGATTTGTCACAAGCATTACAAAGAAAAGACCAAGATATTGTGAATGTGATAGGATTAGTAGAAGTATGCAAGCAACAACTCCAAATGATGACGGATAGTGGGTGGAGTTCTTTGATGGATGAAGTTTCCTCTTTTTTTAACAAACATTGTATTGATGTTCCTAATATGGATGACTTGTATGTACCTCGAGGTAGATCAAGGTGTATAGATCAAGAAATGACAAACTCTTATCACTACTTCGTCAAGTTGTTCGATTTTGTCATTGATATGCAACTCCAAGGGTTGAATAATCATTTTAATGAGGTGAACATTGAGTTGCTTCTTTGTGTTGCATTCCTAAATCCATCCGATTCATTTGCTGCTTTTGATATGACAAAATTGATCGTTTTGCCCAATTATCTAAAAGACTTTTCAGCTATTGAGCTTACAGAACTTCCTATTCAGATTGAGAATTTTATCATTGATATGCGGTCTAGTGTTGAGTTTTCAAATTTAAAAGGAATCAATGACCTTGCTTGGAAGATGGTTGAGACTAGAAAAGAGAGAATTTATTTCTTGGTTTACAAACTGTTGACTTTGGCACTGATTTTACCTGTTACGATTGCCACAATAGAGAGGGCATTTTTTGCGCCAAAGATTGTAAAGAACAGGCTTCGCAATGAAAATGGTAATCAGTTGATGAATGATAAGCTGGTTGTGTATATTGAGGGAGAGATTTGTAGTAGCATTCCAAATGAGGCTATCATGCATCATTTCCAAAATATGGAAAGTCTTTGAGGTTATTTGTAATCAAACCCCGTATCTTATCAATGAATATCTAAGATTTTGCTTTGTTCTTAGTTCAAAATTTGTGCTTCTTTCAATTGTCAAATAGGAAAATTTTCATGAATGAATTCTAGGCAAGTTCTTAGCCCCCTTGACAAAAATCATGGTTTTGCCCTTGAGGATTGCTTGTTGAAGGAGACAGAGAGCATATATAGAGTAAAAAGGCATTTGTGTTTAGTCAAGATTGGATTAGTTCACTCCACTTGAGGGGGAAAAAAATGAACATGCATATGAATTAGAAGAAGAAAAAAGAAACATAAAAAGGAGCAGAAGCTATTATTATTATTATTATTATTATTATTATTACGTTCATTCTAGAATTTGTGGATGATGCTAGTGTGAATTAAATTTCTTGTTACTCATTTATAATTTGTTTATGAAATTAAAACAAATAAGTTTGAAACGAATAAAATTGGGTGTGGTTGACGGTTCAAGTTGAGCTTGTCAATACCAGATTGAGTATGAATTTCGTCACTTTGAAAGTTCAGCAAATAATAACTTCAAAGTATTCCTTTATTTCCAAGAAGTTGTCTCGTGACTGTATTTCTATCTTAAAACAATGAAACACATAATTAGTTTGTCTAATATATATATATATATAAGAAGAGGAAAAACTAATTAAATATCTAACACGGTTGAATATAGGGTAGACATATAAGATAATTATGACTTATTTCCAGTCACATTCCATAGAAATCTCCCACCACCCACCCAAGTTGATTTTGTCCTATTCAATCTCTAACAATTATTAAGGGGAATTAAAGCAATATTGTCCATTCAAAAATAAATTAATAATTCTTATTTTCATGTGTCAAGTCATAAATTGAATCATCAATTGATTTTTCAATAAAATAAATTATGAATTGTAAGATTCACGTTATTTTATATTTTTCATAAAATGTATACATATAAAATCATATATATAGTTCTTAAAATTAAAAAAAAAAAATCTATACATACAATATATAATATTAAAGTACAAGTGTACAATGAAGAATATATATTAAATATAATTTGAATTTTATTAATGTGTGTCCTTGAGACATGCAAAGAAATTTAAAAATATTATACATTATGTATAAAAATAAGTGCAATAAATTAGATATAATACTTTTAATCCATTTACAAAATTAACACAAATTTAAATAAGTTTCAGACAAATAAAATTGGCCGTGCTTAATGGTTTCAAGTTAAGCTTGTCAATTCTAAATTGAGTATGAATTCAGTTACTTTGAAAGTTCAATATGCATAAACTTCACAGTATCCCTTATTTCCAAAAAGTTATCTGGTGGATCCATGTTTCAAGGTGGCGAGCGTGCTATGCCTATAAGGCATATCAAGCATAACATGGTGTTGTAAGGCTCATTGGATCCTTGTCCCGAGCTCAAGTTATTGATCCCAACCTTTCACTGTCTATGGTTTATTGAGTAGATCATTCATGAAAAAATCAAACCACTTGGTTATTTATAACCTTAAAATAAGACTACATTTATTTTTTAAAAATAAACGGTCAATAGAATTTTAATAATTTATTGTAAAACAGTTAGGACTTATTTTTTACAAGAATGATATGTCCAATGAATCTTACAATACGAATTGTTCGTATCATCAAATAGGTTCGGGATAAGTCTCCATGATACATCAAAACATGCATGATGTGCCACAAGGCACAACACGCACCTCATATTCATGTTTCCATCTTATAACAATGAAACACATAATTAATTTGTCTAAAATATATATAATAAAAAAAAGATAAAAGAAAAACTAATTATATATCTAATATACTTGACTATAAGGCTAGACTTATAAGATAATTACGACTTATTTCCAGGCAGATTCCTTAGAAATCTCCCACCACCCATCCAATTTGGTTTTGTCATATTCTATCTATCTCTAACAATTAGTCAAGATAATGCAATCCATTAATACGTCTTAATTTCAAATCGTACAATTCATTTCATTTTATATTTTTTTAATATAATAATATATACTTATATATTTACATATAAAATCATATATATGGTTCTTAAAATGAAAAAAAAAAAAACAATTATATATATTATTATTATGTTCATTCTAGGATTTGTGGATGATGCCAGTGAATTAAATTTCTTGTTACCCATTTATAAATGCTACTCATTCATAATCCGTTTATGAAATTAAAAAAAATAAGTTTGAAACGAATAAAATTGGGTGTGGTTGACGGTTTCAAATTGAGCTTGTTAATACCAAATTGAGTAGGAATTCTGCCATTTTGAAAGTTCAACAAATATCAACTTCAAAGTATTCCCCTATTTTCAAGAAGTTATCTTGTGGTTGTATTTCTATCTTAAAACAATGAAACACGTTATTAGTTTGTCTAAAATATATAAAAAAGAAAAACTAATTACATATCTAATACACTTGAATATAGGCTAGACTTATAAGATAATTATGACTAGGGTGTAAATTGGGCCCGACCCACCCGGGCTTGGGCTCGGGTCGGCCCATGTTAGGCCCCTAGGATCCCGCTAAAATTTGGGCCGGGCCACGGGTCAGAAAATTAGGCCTAGGCCCAAACTCAGACTCAGGTGTCTTCGGGCCTTAAGCGGGTCAGGCCGACAGGTCTGGGCTCGGCCTTATTTTTTAACTAAAATTTTATTCTTTTCCACTAAAAATAACATTAGGCCTTGGGCGGGCTGTGCTTTGAGTAGGACTTGAGTGGGCCGATGGGCTGGACCACGGGCCGGGCCGGGTTTCAAAATGAGGACCTAGGCTTAAGGTCCCGGGCTGGGTCAAGCTCAGGCCTGGGCGCACCCCGGGCCGCGGGTCATTTTTACACCCCTAATTATGACTTATTTCCAATCACATTCCTTAAAAATCTCCCACCACTTACGCAAGTTGGCTTTGTCCAATTCTATCTCTAACAATTATTAAAGGAAATTAGATAAATGTTGTCCATTCAAAAATAAATTAATAAGTCTTAGTTTCAATTGCCAAATCATAAATTGAATCATCAATTAATTTTTCAATAAAGTAAATTATGAATTGTAAGACTCACGTCATTTTATATTTTTAATAAAATATATAAATATAAAATCATATATATAGTTCTTAAAATTAAAAAAAAAAAAAGAATCTATACATATAATATATAATATTAAAGTGCAAGTGTACAATTATATAATATATATTAAATATAATATGAATTTTATTAATATGTGTCCTTGAAATATGTGAAGAAATTTAAAAGTATTATACATTATGTATAGAAATGAGTACAATAAATTAGATATAATACTTTTAATCCATTTACAAAATTAACACAAATTTTATAAAGTTTCATACGAATAAAATTGGTCGTGCTTAGGGTTTGTTTGGGAAGAAAAAGTCTGGGGGCTTTTTGGCTATTTTAGCCGCAAAAAAACAAAATAGGTTTTTTAGCCTAATAAGACAAAACATCACATTCAACCCATAATTATTACATTTTTTCTCTCACAAAAAAGCCAAAAAATCCATCACAAACGAGGCTTTTTAGCCACAGTCTAAAATAGTTAAAAAGCCAAAAAGCCAACCCCCATCCCAAACTAACCCTTAATGGTTTTGATTTAAGCTTGGCAATTCTAAATTGGGTATGAATTCAGTCACGTTGAAAGTTCAACATGTATAAACTTCACAATATCCCTTATTGCCAAAAAAGTTATCTGGTCGATCCATGTTTCAAGATGGTTGTGCTTCCATGGAATTGGGGAGTGTGTTGTGCTTATAAGGCACAACAGGCACAACACGGTACTATGAGGCTCATTGGATTCTTGTCTCGAGCTCATATTATTGATTCAAACTTTTCATCGTGTAAGGTTTGTTGAGTAGATCATCTATGAAGAAAATTAAATCAGTTGGTTGTTTATAACCTTAAAACAAGACCACATTTATTTTTCAAAAAATAAACAATTAATATAATTTTAATAATTTATTTTAAAACAATTAGTATTTGATTTTTTACAAGGATGATATATTCGATGAACCTTACAATATGAATTGTTCAGATCATCAAATAAGCTCAGGACAAGTCTTCATGATACATCAAAACATGCATGATGTGCCACAAGGCACAACACTATGCACCTCAAATCCATGTTTCCATCCTATAACAATGAAACACATGGGTCCGTTTGATTTAATTTTAGAATTATGATTTGAGTATGAGTTGTGTTTTGAGTTTTTGAATTATGGTTTGAAAAGAGAAAAATTGTTTGATTATGAGTTTTGAAAATAATTTTGGAATGATTTGTATTTTTTTTTTTTTGATTGATTGATGTATAAAATGTGAGAGAATGTGAGAGGAGAGACGAGAGATGAGAGAGAAAAAATGATTGATTGATTGATTAATAATAATAAGAGATGAGATGAGTTTTGAAAGTAATTTTGAGTTGTATTTTAAAAATATTTTTGGTTAACATGTTACATTCAAATCATGATTTAAAAACAGAGTTGAATTTTGAAAAGTAAACCAAAGGCTATCATAATTAATTTGTCTAAAATATAAAATAAATAAATAAATAAAAGAGAAACTAATTATATATCTCATACACTTGAATATAAGGCTAGACTTATAAGATAATTATGACTTATTTCCAGCCAGATTCCTTAGAAATCTCCCACCACCCATCCAAGTTGGTTTTGTCATATTATCTACCTCTAACAATTAGTCAGGGTAATGCAGTCCATTAATAAGTATTATTTTCAAATCGTAAATCGTAAAATTCACTTCATTTTATATTTTTCTAATATAGTAATATATTCTTATATATTTACATATAAAATCATAAATATGGTTCTTAAAATGAAAAAAAAAATTAACAATTTATATATATAATATTAAATATAATATGAATTTTATTAATGTGTGTCCTTAAAGTACATGTTAAGAAATTTAAAAGTATTGCACATTGTGTATGAAAATGAGTTCA